CGCACGGTGCTGGCTGGCTGAGGCCTCGGGTCCCAGCTTCTGGCCTCTCGCCGCCGCCCGCGTGGGAGAATCCGAGCTCGACGGCGCGGCCGTGTGGCCGCCATGGCGGCGCATGGGAAGCTGCGGCGGGAGCGGGGGCTGCAGGCGGAGTATGAGACACAAGTCAAAGGTGAGAGGGGGTCAGGCACTCCTGGCCTGGTCTCCGGTGGAGACCTCGAAGGTGGTGGGTTCCCCACAACCAGCGGTCCCCCGCAGGTCCCCAGCAACCTGGACGGGGTGGGGGGGGTGGAGGAGTCAAACCTCATGTTTCTTGGTGCTCCTTTGGCCTCATCCGCTTGCAAGTCCCTGGCCTTTCGCCCTTCCTTTGGGTTCTCTGCTCTGCTTGGGTCTGCTCCTCACCCGGGGAGCACACAACACCCTGGTGGCCCGAGGAGGGCTGGACTGAGAAGGTGGCATGCTGGCTGGACGGTAGTGGGCTCCTTGGATTTTGCTGGAAGGTGGGCTGGGGGAAGGGAGGGATGAGGATGCTAGGGTTGGTGGCCACTTCAGCCTAACACCACTGGAGTCCCCGAGCGCTTGGCCCCTTCGCTGCTTCTTGGCACTGAGGTGGCCTGCTGGGGAGGGCGCTGGCCCTGGTCAGGCTGCAGGAAGGAATCTTGCCTCAAGCGATTTCACCGAGCTGGCTTCCTTCTGCAGTTCTATCCCTGTGGGTTCTGATAAGCATTCCAGCGCAAATCACATGCAGATGAGCTTTACAAATTCTTTGCTGTCCACTTCTTTTATGACTTCTACAAAAGAAAGAAGGGAGCATCTAAGGGCTCAGAGTTTTCTATTGCTTGCATGCTTCTGACTCCGTATTCCTCTCAGTTGCTCCATTTTACCTGTTGTGTAAACAAGCTCAGAGTCCCACAGTGACTTACCCAGGTCACACAGCACAACAGCTGCAAGGAGCTTATGCAAAAGGACACTCCAGGTATTTTCCAACTCTTAGATGCATAACCTGATACAATGAGTCAGAGCAACAATTTATCCCACTGTGCCCTGTCCAGAACACATTGCCTGGTGTCCGGAGCCAGCCTGGAGTAACTGCAGAGGGCGCCGGCACCGCAAGTCTAGCCCTTATCATTTCTCACATGGAGGCAGCGATCCCATCCTACTTCCTCAAAATGCAGTGGGCTGGAGAACTTTGAAAACTCTCCAGTCAGCAAATGTGGGCAATTAATTCACACTGAACAGAGCAGCTTTGAGCAAGATGTCTTTAGGACCTCCCTTGCTGCACCCTGCACCTCCAACCATTTGTAGCCTCTGTTTTCCATCTCGCTTCCCAAGGAGACCTTTCAACCATGCTAGGAAACCAAGGGCACTGTCTTGACTCCCTCAATTCTGCAAGATCAGCATGGGGACAGTTTGGGAGGCCATCTTTTCTTCTCTGTCAGCAGAAGTCCATGCCTTGCTCAACGGATGCACGGGTGGGCCTGAGGCCCAGCTTTGCAATTCAAACATAAAGGAATCCCTTCTGGCAGATTTTTATTTTCCCAACCTGCATCTGTTTTGTCTCAGACTGGGAATTCATGGCTCTGTAACAGAGAACAGGTCCCTGCCCTCACATGGGTCACAGGTCTGGTGGGAGAGACAAATGGTAAACAAGCCATCCCATAATTCTGTCCAGGTAACCACTGGGAAGCAAAAAGGGTAGAATGAGGCAGACCTAGCTGTGGAGGGGGAAGGGTTGGGACACCGTTCTCTGGCCTGACTGACATCTAGAGGCTGGGGGCTAGGCACTGGACACTTGCTATCATGGACCTGAAATGCAGTTGGCTTCAGCCCGCCAGTGCACATATCCAGATGCTGACGGAGCTTTTGCTCCTGGCAGTGAAGAATCAATACAATGGTGTGGTCTCCTGCTCCATTCAGCAGGGTTCAGGTGTAATAAGTCCTCAGGGAATACAATGCCTCTTGGAGGGGAAGGCAAGTGCCACAGGGAAGGAGAAGCCACCCAGGTAATCTTAAGACCTTGCTTGGAATGAAATATCTTCCTTCTTTCTTTCCTTCTTTCCATTCTTTTTCTTGTGCTGCTGTTGGGACTTGAACTCAGGATCTTGTTCTCTTGCTTAGTATTTTTGCTCAAGGTTAACATTACTTGAGCCATACTCCTGCTTTTTTGCTGGTTAATTGGAGATGAAAGTGTTGGGTTCTATTTTTTTTTCTGCCCAGGCTATCAAACTCAGCCTTTTGAGTAGCTAGGATTACAGGAATGAGCTACTGGTACCCACGTGAAATTGTGTGTGTGTGTGCGTGTGTGCGTGCACGCGTGCGCACCAGTACTAGGGCTTAAATTCAGGGCCTGGACACTGTCTCCTACCTTTTTTGGCTGGTCCTCTACCACTTAAGCCACAACTCTACTTCCAACTTCTTGCTTGTTAATTGGAGAGAAGCACCTCATGGACTGTCCGGCCCAGATGGCTTTGAACCATGATCCTCAGATCTCAGCCTCCTGAGTATCTGGGATTATAGGCCACCAGCTCACAATGGAGTTGTTGTAAACAGCCCCTCCAGGTCCTGCCCCTCAGGGTGGGTCTGTGGTCTTAACCCCTGCCTTCCCCCCCTCCACACATACCTGAAGGAGGGTGACAGCTGCCCTCTTTGATTTTCTATGGCAGCTAGAGGGCTATGGAAATGAAGCAGGTCTATATAGCTCAGCCCTGCATGGGGTAGGGGAGCCTGGGCTGTCTACCTGGCCCTCCCCCCATGCATCCCTCCCCCTCTGCATCCACGATGGCATTGATTTTGTTGATTCACTTTCTTGGCACTCATTGCTCCTGGACATTCTGGTGTGTGTCTGCTCCTTTGTTCTCTGCCCCCCTTCCAATCCCAGCTCTAGAAGGGTGCGAAGTTGACATTATACTCAATGAAGAACTCAAGTTGAAGTGAATGCTCTTATTTCCCCAGAGCCCCTGTGCCCACCTGGACATGGGGTGGGGAGGCACAACGTTTTCAGCAAGTTGCTTCTGCTTGCTGGACCTGCAGCTTTCTACTTTAAGTCTGAATGTGGGAAGCAGCATTGCCAAATCAAGTTACTGATAAGGTGTCAAAAGGGGGGGCATCGTCGGGCCCTGGGTGTGGCTCTCCGCTGGGTGGGGGGAGGAAAAGCCACGGGTGGGTGATTGGGGTGGAAACTGCCTCATCCCTGAGCAGTCCCACACATGTGTGCAGGGGTCCTGTGTATCTAAGCAAAAGGAAATAGCAGGGGAAGCAAGTTGGGCTTTTCCAGGAACTAAGGAGAGAAGGCACCCAACTGGCAATGGGGCGGCATGGGCTGAGGTAGTCCTGTGTCCTGCCTCTGGGAGCAACTTCAACCTTCCCAGAGCTGCTATACTCTACCCTTAGTCATGCAAGGGCTCAGCCCCTCTGTCCCCCCAAAAAATCAGAACAGCCAGGTGCCAGTTGCTCACACCTGTAACCCTAGATACTCAGGAGGCTGAGACCTGAGGATCCCAGTTGGAAGCTAGCCCAGGCAGGAAAGTGTTGTAAGACTCTTTCCTCCAATTAACCACCAAAAAGCTGAAGTGGAGCTGTTGCTCAAGTGTTAGAGCCCCAGCCTTGAGCACAAAAGCTCAATGACAGTGCCCAGAGGCAGAGCTCAAGCCCCAGGATTGGCATACACACACACACACACACACACACACACACAGATTAGGACATACAGATGGCCGTGTGTCTGTGTCTCTGCCTCTGTGGCCCAGCTGTGTGGGCAGTGCGTGCCAGCCAGGCCTGAGCCGCGGTCCTGTGCGTCTGATCCCCTTGCAGAGATGCGCTGGCAGCTGGGCGAGCAGCTGCGCTGTCTGGAGCTCCAGGGGGAGCTGCGTCGTGAGCTGCTGCAGGAGCTGGCAGAGTTCATGCGGCGCCGAGCCGAGGTGGAGCTCGAATATTCCCGGGGCCTGGAAAAGCTGGCTGAGCGTTTTGCGAGCCGGGGAGGCCGCCTGGGGGGCAGCAGTCGAGAGCAGCAGAGCTTCCGGTGGGTACCATACTGGCAGCAGGGCTGGGGCCAGGCCCTGAGGCTTGTAGACAACCTGTTCTGAGTGGCCCTCTGTCCCCAGGAAGGAACCATCCCTCCTGTCGCCCCTACATTGCTGGACTGTGCTGCTGGAGCAGACACGGCAGCAGAGCCGGGAGAGTGCGGCCCTCAGCGAGGTGCTGGCCGGGCCCCTGGTCCAGCGCTTGGGTCACATTGCCGAGGATGTGGGGCGCATTGTCAAGAAGGTAGGGCTCAGGTCCAGGGCCATGCCAGGTGTAGGGCCTCTACCTAGGCGCACTGTGGCTGGGAGGCATGGGAGGCTAGCTGGGGACCTGTGTGGCCCATGGTGCAGAGCGAAGATGGGGAGGGTCATCCCAGGATGGTGGCAGGTACTAATGCTGGGTAGTACCGTGCTCACACCATCTCCTTGGCCTCTAGAGTAAGGACCTGGTGCAGCAGCTGCAGGATGAGCTCCTGGAGGTGGTCTCAGAGCTCCAGACGGTGAGGAAGGATGGGGCAGGGCCCAATCCCAGTGGCCCAGGGAAAAATACCAATCAGAGGGAGGGCAAGAACAACCCCAGGCTGGGCTCAGGGAGAAACAAGTGCCTAGGGTGACATGGGTGTGGGGGACTGCGGGAAAACTGGGGCCAGGGCTGCTGTGGATAGCCCAAGTTTCAGGTTGGAGTCCCAGGCAGGCTGCCAGGAGGAGGAGGAAGCGGCTGGCTGTGGCCTTCAACAGAGCTGCCTTACCTTGGTCCTCTGCAGACCAAGAAGACATACCAGGTGTACCACACTGAGAGCGTGAACGCCGAAGCCAAGCTCCGGGAAGCAGAGCGGCAGGAGGAGAAGCGAACAGGCCGGAGCGCCTTGCCCACCAGTGCCAATGCTGCCGTCACCAGCACCACCGGCTCGGAGGCGGGGCCCCTCCGCAAGAGCTCCCTCAAAAAGGGAGGACGGCTAGTAGAAAAGGTAGGCCTGGAAGGCTATGGGCCATCTTTTCCTCCATGTCCAAAGGCTCCTGGCCTTTGCCCTGCAAGCCCTTGAGCGACTCTGAGGTTAGGGCAGCCCGGCGCAGCTCGCCCTACATCCCACGTGGCCTTCCACAGCCCCTCGGGGCCAGAGCTTAGGGACTGCTAAGCCTGAGGGGTTTTGCTCCCAGCTACCTCCTGAGGTTTTGCAGGGCAGAGGGCACAAACTCGGGATGAGGGATTAGGTGACCTGCGAGGAAAAACAGCACTCATTTGGGGGGTAGCCCCAAAGACAGACGAGGAGGGTGAGAAATATCAAGGATGGAGAGGGATTTTCCAGCCCTTCTAAGACCTCCGACGCACCCTTTTTTTTTTTTTTTGTCGGTCATGGGGCTTGAACTCTGGGCCTGAGCACTGTCCCTCAGCTCTTCAGCTCAAGGGGAGTGCTCTAGCACTTGAGCCACAGTGCCACTTCTGGTTTTCTGAGTGGTGTATTGAAGACAAGAGTCACATGGACGTTCCTGCCTGGGCTGGCTGCCTTGGACCGTGATCCTCAGATCTCAGCCTCCTGAGTAGCTAGGATTACAGGCATGAGGCACCCTGCCTGGGTCCACATTGAGTTTGAGGGTTCTATGGGACACTAGGTGTATAATCAAAGATGGGGACAGTCTGCCAAGTGGGAGACCCCAGTGTGCCTTATTTTCCTGAACAGCGTCAAGCCAAATTCTTAGAGCACAAGGTCAAGTGTACCAAGGCACGGAATGAATACCTGCTCAGTCTGGCCAGTGTCAATGCGGCTGTCAGCAACTACTACTTGCATGATGTCTTGGACCTCCTAGATGTGAGTCCTCTGTGTGTCTGTGGGGGGGGGGGACTCCACGCCCTGTAGCTCAGAGGCTGCAGCTCCAGCCTTCCCTGAGTATATGCTCGCTTCTCTCCAGTGCTGTGATACAGGCTTCCACTTGGCCCTGGGGCAGGCCCTCCGAAGCTACACAGCCACCAAGAGCCGCGCCCACACCTCCCAGCTGCAGGGCCTGGGCAGCCTGGAAGAGGCTCTGGAGGCCTTGGACCCTCCAGGGGACAAGGCCAAAGTGCTGGAGGTGCATGCTATGGCCTTCTGCCCCCCACTGCGTTTTGATTATCATCCTCACGAGGGCGATGAGGTAAGGGTCACACTGCATGCCCCAAGAGTGGTGACAAAGGTCTTCATTCCAGTGCTGGCCAGTCAAATGAGCCACACTTTGTCAAGGAAGAAAAGCTCCTGGTTGTAGCCAGTCCCTACTTCCCAGCTCTTCATCCCGTAGCCCAAGGCAAATGCAGACCATTCTCACTGCTGTTAGCCGGAGCTGACTTAGAGAGGACCTGGTGCTCTTGTTCAGCTTTTTGACTCATGGCTGGCATTCTACCACTTAAGCCGTGGCTCCACTTCCAGCCTTTTGCTAGTTAATTGGAGAGAAGAGTCTCATGGACTTTTCTGCCCAGGCTGGCTCCAAACCATGATCCTCAGAGCTTTCCCTTCTGAGTAGCTAGGGTTATAGGAATGTGCTAAGTATCCTTTTGTGTCCTGCCCAGCATGATCTTTTTTAGGTGTTTCGCTGTTGGAGCATAGATTAGTATTTCATTCCCTTTCCTGAGGGACTCTATTTCATGGGTGGACTACATTTTTTTTCATTAATTTCTTGGATTGTTTCCACCTTTGGACTTTTTTTCTTTTTTCTTTTTTTTTGTCAGTAGTGGGGCTTGAACTCTGTCCCTCAGCTCTTCAGCTCAAGGCTAGCACTCTACCACTTGAGCCACAACACCACTTCTGGTTTTCTGAGTGGTTTATTGAAGATAAGAGTCTCATGGGCTTTCCTGCCCAGGTTAGCTTTGAACCACAACCCTCAGATCTCAGCCTCCTGAGTGGCTAGGATTACAGGCATGAGCCACCGGCGCCTGGCTTTAGACTTTTTAAAAAATATTTATTTTTTGCCAGTCCTGGGGCTTGAACCTCAGGGTCTGGGCACTGTCCCTGAGCTTCTTTTGCTCAAGGCTAGCACTCTACCACTTGAGCCACAGTGCCACTTCCAGCTTTTTCTGTTAATGTGATACTGAGGAATTGAGCCCAGGGCTTCATGCATGCAAAGCAAGCACTGTACCACTAAGTCACATTCCCAGCCCTCTTCTTTTTTTGATGCCAGTCCTGGGGCTTGAACTCAACCTGAGCATTGTCCCTGAGCTTTTTGCTCAAGGCTAGCGCTCTACCCCTTGAGCCACAGCTTCTGGCTTTTTCTGAGTAATTAATCAGAGATTTTCATAGACTTTCTTTCCGGACTGGCTTCAAGCTGCCATCCTCAGCCTCCTGAGTAGCTAGGATTACAGGCCTGAGCCGCTGATGCCAGTCTACCTTTGGACTTTTATGAGTATCACTGTCATGGACATTTATGGACAAGAGTTGGTGTGAGCAGAGGGATTCATGGCTCTTGGGGAGCTGCTGATCCAGTCTTCAATGTGTCAAGGCGCAGTAGTCCCAGAGTCAGCCACCAGGCAGCAGAAGTGTGCTTTGTTCCTCAGGCCCACCCTCATTGCTGTGGTAGGCCCCGCCTTCAGCCCCTCTACTGCCCTCTGCAGGTGGCTGAAATTCGGGTGGAGCTGGAGCTGCGTGAGGAGATTCTGCCCAGAGCCCAAAACATCCAGAGTCGTCTGGACCGACAGACCATCGAGACAGAGGAGGTATGAATGGCTGGGCTTGGGGTGGGAACATGAGACCCTGTCTTGGGTTTGGTTGTCCTAACACTGCCTTCCTGATTTAGACTTTCTGTTTCCCACATTGACTCCCAGGCCTTTTATCATTATTACTATTATTATTGGTACTAGTATCGGGGCTTGAACTCAGGGTCTGAATGCTCTCCCTTAGCTATTTTGCTCAAGGCTGGTACTCTACCACTTGAGCCACAGCTCCATTTCTGGCTTTTTGCTAGTTAATTGGAGTCTCATAGACTTTCCTGCTGGCCACTGACTCACACCTGAAATCCTATTCAGGAGGCTGAGATCTCAGGACTGTGGTTCAAAGCCAGTCTGGGCAGGAAAGTCTATGAGACTCTTATCTCCACTTCACCACCAGAAAATGGAGCTGTGGTTCAAGTAGTAGAGCACTAACCTTGAGCAGAAAAAGCTCAAGGACCATGTCTAGGCCCTGAGTTCAAGACCCGGGACTGACGAAAACAGAAAAAGAAAACAAAACTCAATCCTCATATCTCAGCCTCCTGAGTAGCTAGGATGATTGGGTGTGAGCCATCAGTGTTCGGCTGTCTCTCATTTCTTACCGTCCTGGTGCCGTTCCATCAGGTAAACAAGACATTGAAGGCAACTCTGCAGGCGCTACTGGAGTTGATGGCATCAGATGAAGGGGATGCCCTAGACTCCTTCCAGGCCAGTCCTTCTACGGAATCCCTCAAGTCTACTAGCTCAGACCCTGGCACAAAACAGGCAGGCCGGAGACGGGGCCAGCAGCAGGAAACAGAGACCTTCTACATTACGGTGGGACCGGGCAGGTGGAGGAGAGCCCACAGGGCAGGAGGGGCACATCTTGCCTGGCCAGACCTAAAACTCGAGGCTCTTATTTTGGCCTTCTAGAAGCTTCAGGAGTATGTGAGCGGCCGGAGTATCCTTGCCAAGCTACAGGCCAAGCATGAGAAGCTTCAGGAGGCTATACAACGCGGTGAGTCCTGGCCCATGCCCGCCCCTTCCTTCCCCTCCTGGGGCCTGGAATTTTATCTGCCTTCCTCTGCCAGTGAGCAACTAACCAATCCAACAAGAGCCCTGGCCTCTCTCCTACCTGGCCCTGAGCCTTTGGGCCACACCTCTCTCTGGGGTTCTTTGTAGACCCCCTGGCATGTTTTCTCTTCTCTAGGTGACAAGGAGGAGCTGTCATGGTGAGTCATTCAGAGATCCTCTGTCTCCCTCTCCTTGGTACCCAGCCCTGCTGTCCAGCCTGCTGGGGCCTCAACTTCCCATTTTGCCCAGTGGATTCTAGGAGGACTTGGGGGGTCCAGGGCCCTGTCTGCTTGCACTGAGGGTGGGGCATCCGATTTCATGCCTGCTCTTCTCAGACCCAGTTCCCATCACTGCAGGACTCAGTACACGAAGAGACGATTCCAGAAGAGCCGCCAGCCCCGTCCTAGCTCCCAATATAACCAGAGACTCTTTGGAGGAGATATGGAGAAGTTTATTCAGGTACTTGCTTTATCCTACTCTCTGGTCAGCTCTGGATTACAGCTGTGGTACTGATATAAAAGTGTTGTTAAGAAACACAGAAAACCAGGGCTGGGAATGTGGCCTAGTGATCCAGTGTTCACCTAGCATGCATGAAGCCCTGATGAGTTCAATTCCTTAGTACCACATACATAGAAAAAGTCGGAAGTGGCACTGTGGCTCAAGTGGTAGAGTGCTAGCCTTGAGCAAAAGAAGACTCAGGGGCAGTGCCCAGGCCCTGAGTTCAAGTCCCAGGACTGGCAAAGAAAAAAAAGAGCTAGGCATCAGTGGCTCACGCCCGTCATCCTAGCTACTCAGGAGGCTGAGATCTGAGGATCATAGCTTAAAGCCAGCCCATGCATGAAAGTCTGTGAGGCTCTTATCTCCAAGCAAGCACCGAAAAAAGGCGAAGGTAGTTTTGTTGATTAAGTGGTGGGGTGCTAGCCTTCAGCAAAAATGCTCAGGGAGTGTGGCCCCTCCCGCACACAAAGAAATAACATTGTCGTTGGTAATTTTGTATTCAATAGAATATTGAAAAGAATCTGTCTACTTAATGAACAATTTGAGTTTTGCAGTGCTACTTGATTCAAGGTCAACCAACAGCCGAATTTTGATTATGCTTTTACATTCCAGCAACAATTTGTAAATAAAATGTAAAACACTTCCTAAAATAGCACCAGCAATATCAAGCCACTTAGACACTGTTAAGAGAAAAACAATGGAAGAACAGGGTGAGCTAGACTGTCTCTGAGTGACGTAAGCCCCGGCTTGTCTGTTCCCCAGAGCTCAGGCCAAACTGTACCTCTGGTGGTGGAGAGCTGTATCCGCTTCATTAACCTCAATGGTAAGCACAGCCCAGCGCCTCCTGCCACCCTGGCACCTGCCTGGTACCAGGCAACTGGTATAGGGGGCCAGTCTAGGAAGGGAGGGGACTCTGCCCTCCAGCTTCTTATCTTCCACAGGCCTGCAGCACGAAGGCATCTTCCGGGTTTCAGGTGCCCAGCCCCGGATCTCTGAGATCCGAGATGCCTTTGAGAGAGGTAGGGATGTGCCCAGTGTGTGTGTGTGTGGAGGGGGGCAGTGGGGACTCGGCAGCCACAGTCTGCCTCCTCATCCAGCGTGTTGCCCACTTGGCTTGCGCACAGGGGAGGACCCTCTGGTGGAAGGGTGTACTGCCCATGACCTGGACTCAGTGGCTGGAGTGCTCAAGCTCTACTTCCGGAGCCTGGAGCCCCCACTCTTCCCAGCACACCTTTTCAATGAGCTTCTGGCCTCTGCAGGTGAAGCCAGGGCCTCAGGCTGGGCTGGTTGGGTTGGGCTGAAGAGCCAGGGCTTCGCCCCTCATTGTGCTGTCTTTTGGGACTGCTGGCCACAGAGCTGGAGGCCATGATGGCGCGGGTTGAGCCTGTGAGCCGGCTGTTGGCTCAGCTGCCAGGAGCGGTGCTGGTGGTCCTGCGCTACCTTTTCACCTTCCTCAATCAGTGAGTGTTTGGGGGGGAGTGAGCTGGCAGAGGGGGAGAAAGGGATAGCAGTGCTGAAGCCCCTTGCGTGTGACCCCCCCCCCCGTCCACTTCCCTCCCAGCTTGGCACAGTACAGCGATGAGAACATGATGGACCCCTACAACCTGGCTGTGTGCTTCGGGCCGACGCTTCTGCCTGTGCCCCCTGGGCAGGACCCTGTGGCCTTGCAGGGCCGGGTGAACCAGCTGGTGCAGACGCTCATCTTGCAGCCTGCACAGGTGTTTCCATCCTTGGCTGCTCTGCCAGGCCCCGTCTATGAGAAGTGCATGGCACCACCTTCTGCTGCCTGCCTGGGGTACCAGACACTTGGTGCTGCCTGGTGGGGGATGGGGGTGGGGGTTCCACTGCAGGTCAGCCCCGCTCACCTGCCTTCTCTGAACATCAGGGACACACATCTGGAGAGCCTTGGGGAGAATGAGCCAGAGCTGGAAGTTGGGACCACAACTCAGGAGGATGGTGAGGAGGGTCATGGGAGACCTTACCCTGTGTCATCTGGTGCACACTGCATCACCAATTGGCCCCTCCCTTCTCCGCAGACCCAGAAAGGGGTGTCATAGAGGCTGTGGCCTGCTTTGCCTACACGGGCCGCACAGCCCAGGAGCTGACATTCCAGCGAGGCGACATTCTGCGGCTGCACGCGCGGGCATCGAGTGACTGGTGGCGGGGGGAGCATGCTGGCGTGCGGGGCCTCATTCCCCACAAGTACATCACACTGCCCGAGGGGTGAGTGAGCTGCCATCCTGTCCTAGGCAGCCAGACTTCAACAGGAAGCATGGGGGAACTACTGAGGCGGGTCTCTTTCTTTTGCCACCCCCGGGAAGGGCAACTCAACTTGGGGCCCTTACCAGGCTCCCTGTCTGTGCCTTGCAGGCTGGAGCTAGATACGCCACCTGAAGCCATTGGCCCCTCTGGGCACAGATGGCAGTGCTTGATCCCAACCTCCCCGGAGCGGCATGTGGAGGTAGACAAGGTGAGACTGCAGGCTAGGCTGTGTGGCAGGTTGGGGCACGGGGGCTGCTTCCCAAGGCGAAGTTCCATCTCAGTGCTCCTTGAACTCTATGCAGTAAACTTCCCACGAGCCAAGCAGCCAAAGAGGAGCCTAGGAAAGGGCAGGAGAGGGAGTGGGGATGGAAGGGCAGGGCACGGAGGCATGGAAAGAGTTGCACAACACCTTTGCCAGGGCATTACACTCACACATGCTTTGGCGGCTACTTGGCTGTAGACTGGAGGCCTTCCACTTTCATTTGGCTTTTCTGCTCAAGTGTGGCGCTCTACCCCTTGAGCCAGTGTGCTACTTCCTGCTCTTATCCTGGTTAATTGGAGATAAGAGTCTCATGGACTTTCCTTCTTGGGCTGGCTTTGAACCGTGATCCTCAGATCTCAGCCTCTTTTTTTTTTTCTTTTTTGGGGTCCGGTCGTGGGGCCTGAACTCTGGGCCTGGGCGCTGTCCCTCAGCTCTTCAGCTCAAGGCTAGCACTCTACCACTTGAGCCACAGCGCCACTTCCAGCTTTTTTCTTTTTGTTTATATGGTGCTGAGGAATCGAACCCAGGGCCTCAGGCATGCAAGGCAGGCGCTCTACCACTGAGCCACTTCCCAGCCCCGATCTCAGCCTCTTGAGTAGCTAGGATGACAGGCGTGAGCCACTGGCACCCAGCTCACATACTCTTGAACAGGGGGGACCAGACTATCTAGGTTGGTGTGGCTGACAGGCTGGAGTATAGGCTTCAAGGCTGGCATTTTAGAGCCAGCCTAGGGGAGAGGCAATGGCGTGGCCGGTGCTTGGCACACCAAGGAGGATGGAGGGACAGATGACAGAGAAGCATGAGGGGAACTGGCTGAGGGAATAAAGTGGGTTGGGACAAGGCCCTCCCTGGCAACGGCACAGCCCGAACAGCCCACTCTCCATTGGGTATTGTGGCTCTGATGGGCTGCACAAGGAAGCCTTGGGTTTGCTGAGCCAAAGAGGAGAGTATGAGAGTGTGCACGGGCTCCCGGTGTGCCCAGCTCCCAAGCTAAGCACGTCAGGACAGGTGGGTGCACGGGCACGAGCTGCAGCCTGGCATCTGGGAGCCGGGCATAGGGCAGGCTCCCAGGAGAGAGCTGATGGCCTCAGGTGGCTGTGGCGGAGGCTGTGATGTTAAGGGAAAGAGTAGGACTGAACAGATGTGAGGGCCTCAGCAGACACCAGGAGGGGTAGGGCGTGGCCTGGAGGTTCAAGCAGAGCAGCGGCATGGTCTGGCAGGACAACAGGGTTTGAGGAGTGGGATAGTAAGAGCAATCCTTCCTCAACTGTCCCTGTCTAATCTTTTCCAGGCTGTGGCCCAGAATATGGATTCGGTGTTTAAGGAGCTCTTGGGAAAGACCACTGCTCGCCAGGGCCTCAGGCCCGCAGCTACTGCCTCCCCCAGCCCGGGGACTCGAAGCTGCCTGGGCAAGAACAAAGGCTTGTCCCGTGGATCTGGGGTCCCAAGTTCCCCTTCGACTTCCCATCCCCAGGGCCCAGACTTGGCCATCAAGCCGCACTGACGCACTGACAATCACTCCAGGAAGCTGCCCGCCAGCCCCACCCCCCTCCTCAGGCCCTTTGCTTCTTTGCAGCTTTGTTATGGAGTGAGGGGTAAGGGCTCATAAAGATCTATGCATTGATTCCCTGATGCCAGCCAGTGCTTTTGTCTTAGAGCTGGGCAAAGGATACAGGGCCAGATCCCAGTGTCCATGGGTTGCTAGAGGCCAGATGCCAAGGTAGCAGATTGGACATCTGAAATAGCTTCTGCAGGTGGTCTCTAACACCAAGCTGGCATCAGAGGGGCTGTGGTACATGGAGACCTGCAGCACCCTAGGTACAGACTTGTGCACTGTGGTGTGGCTTTCAGAGTCATTGCATGTATCCATGGATAAGGTTTTTGGTTTTGGTTGGTCATGGGGCTTGAACTCTGGGCCTGGGTGCTGTCCCTCAGCTCTTTCACTCAAGGCTATAACTCTACCACTTGAGCCACAGCGCCACCTCCAGTTTTCTGGTGGTTCACTGGAGATAAAAGTCTCATGGTCTTTCCTGCCGGGGCTGGCTTTGAACCGTGGTCCTCAGATCTCAGTCTCCTGAGTAGCTGGGATTATAGGTATGAGCCATCAGTGCCCTGCTTGGGTGGAGTCCTTCTAGGTCTACAAAGCCCTCAGGCCAGCTCCCCTTCCCCACATCCACCAGTACCCTCATCCAAAGTGACTCCTTACCCCATGGCAAATGAACTGCATCTTTTTATTAGGGAGAGAGAAAGAGAGGGGGGAGGGGGAGAGAGGGAGGGAGGGGGAGTATAGCAAGGCACAGACTAAAAAGTTCCTTGGCCCTGCCCTGCTCCTTCCTCTTTGGCTCTCTGGACCTCTCTCTCGCCTGGGGGGAGGCACATGCACTTGTGTTACCTGCCACCCCCAGATCCGGTGGCCCTCTGTCTCAGTCTCTCATTCTTGGCACAAAGGAGCTGACTCAAAGGGCCCCTTACAGTCCTAGAGCCTACAGTCCTCCAGGGGACATGGGAGATGGTGAGGGGGCTTTGCCCCGAGCCACATAGTAAAACCATGACAGGGCCCCAGACTCCAGCCAGTTCTCTGCGCAGCTTCCTCCCTGTGGCCCCCAGAGCCCATCTCAGACCAGCAGCTGAAGTGCAAGGAGACTTCAGAAGGAAGGAGCCCACCGTTGCTCAGGATGAAGTATCCTTGGCCAGGGAGGAGCTGGCAGTGGCACAAGACTCATCTTGGGGACCCAGGCTGAGTGGAGCGCGCCTCCGAGCACAGCACAGCAAACTGCGCAGCTCTGAGGAGACGCTGCTGCTGAAGGAAGCATAGATCCAGGGGTTGGTGCAGCTGTTGAGGCTGGCCAGCAGCATGAGCAGCACAAAGGGCGGCCCTGGGGGGGGGAGGAAGATCCAGGTGGGTATTTGGGGACTTGAGCACCCGTGGGTGGGCATGCTGCTGTAGGGAGGGGGAGAGCCAATCCCGAGTACCCCCACTTCCACACCCACCTTCCCGAGGTGCCTCTGGGTCCCACGCGGCCCACAGCTGCACGAGGAAGAAGGGCGCCCAGCAAAGCACGTAAACAATCACAATCACCAGCGTCATCCTCACGGTCTTGGCCATAGCTGCCGACACTCGAGCTCCCTCACTAGGACTTCCAGGCCGGTGCCCTCTGCGGCGCCCCCCAGCCCTCTCGGATGGCCCTGGCACCAAGCTGGCATGAATCTCCCTGAAGATGAGCACCTGGCAGGCGGCGATGCCCAGGGCAGGTGCCACAAACACCATCAGTGCTATCCAGGTGACGTAGGCGCGAAGGCCCCACGGCTCCGCAAAGCGGGCCCAGCAGTCGAAGACCCCACTGCCATCGCCCACATCACGCTGGGCAAAGATGAAGAGCTGCGGCAGGCTGAGAAGGAGCGAGAAGGCCCAGGCCACCAGCACTGGCCGGTTCCAGCGAGCCCCACCACCATGGCGGTAGGCCACCATGGGACGGCATATGGCACGGTGGCGGTCCAGCGTCATCGCCAAGATCATGTAGGAGGATGCGTACATGCCCACCATCTGCAGGTACTTGACGGCCCGGCAAAGGGCATCGGGGCCTTGGAAACGGTCGGTGGCATCCCAGGCTAGCTGGGGCAGCACTTGAAACAGAGCCACAGCCAGGTCAGCTAGACACAAGTGACCGATGAAGACATGCATGGGTGCCCAGCGGCCGCGCCGGCCTCGCCGTACCAGGGCCCCCAACACCAAGCCATTGCCCAAGGCCACTGCCACAAAGACTGTGGAGAGCAGGGCCAGTTCCGCCTGGGCTAGCAATGGGTCCCGGGCATCCAGTGGCTGCTCCTGGCTGCTGTTGCTGGAAGGGCTAGGGGGAGACAGGGTCGTAGGCACAGCTGGGCAAAGGTGGAGGACAAGGACTAAGTTAGAGAGGGTGCTGTGCAGGGTAGCCAAGCCAAGGGGATTCCTACCCAGTGCCAGAGCTGGCAGCCTGGCCAACTGACACACACTCGTCCCCCCTCGGCTCTCTCAACGCCCTCCCACTATCCCCCACCTCATTCTAACTAGAGGGTGACCCCTCCTGACCGGAGCCCAGTGGCTGGGGTCTTACCAGAAATGGTGGATGCCAGCAGCATGGTGGGGCAGCTGCAGGTATCCTAGGTGCCCGGAGACAGATGCGATCTCAGCCTGTACTTCAGAGGCCAGCTCTGCTGCCCAGTGCCACCGGATGTGAGCCCTTTCAAGAGGGGCGGCAGTGGCAGGTGCCCGGGATGGGATTCAAGCTGTGCCAGGTCCTGGGCGGAAGAAGCAGAGGGGCAGTAGGACAAACACACAAAACCCAGCACCGCCCGCCTGGGGCAGCCCGCGCCACACGTGTGGGGATGAGCATCCACGGCAGAGGCCTCAAGAAAACCCTCGCTGGAAGGCTGGGGACTAGCCAGGAGGGGGTAAGGGGTGCTTCCCCCCTCTTCCCCCAGCCCTTTCGCAGCCCTTTACCTGGCTAGGCTCCTGGACAGCAGCGAGAAGGTGGCTCCAGCGGTCAGATCTGCTCTCCATCGCGTGCCCCGCCCCAACCCAACCCAACCCAGCCTGTGGGAGTGACCAGCACAGGAGGGGACTTCCTCCCCCTCCCCCACTCACCTCCCCTGGCCTCCCGGCACCATCCACCCGGAAGTAGGTTCCTGGCCTCCCATTTCCCTTCTTGCCCTCAGGCTTCCCTGATCTGTCCCCTGGACTGCTAACCCCCAGTCCTGAGCACCCTGAGCCCCTGGCAGCTAGTATCCAGCTGGGCCTAGCAGCACCCTGTGTCCCCCACCCCAAAAAAGCCCGCCTTCCTCTAGTGCTGGTCTGCCTGTTCTTTGGGAGATCATTTTATGCTGGACCTTAACTGCTAAGTGTGGACACTGAGGCTGGCAGTGGACCGACGAGCCTGGCCACAGATCACGCTGCTTTTTCATGACAGAGCCTTACTTCCCCTTTCCCAGACCCTCTTTGGACCCAGGCGAGGAAGGGGTAAATACCACCGGGAGGGAGCGGGGCCCCTCAGGCCCAAGCACGCTCCGCCTCCTTAATTAGGGCTGGCTGGCCGGAGATGAGGGACAGGAAGGGAGGGGGTGGGGCGGGGGTCAAGCCAGGGCTTAATGTACCCCTGTAAGCTCTAGCTTCCTCCCCAGAGGCCTGGGGGAGCCAGGAACACCCCCACTCTCTTCCTCCTCCCCCACCTACAGCTACCTGCAGTAGGAGGAGGGGCTTCCGGCTGACCTCCATGTGTGTACCTGTTCCTCTGGCACCCTCTTAGTCTCTGGGCCGTCCTTCCCCATTTCCGCCATCTCTGTCTGTCTCTCTCACACTCCACATCCACCAAGCACACAGCACAGACTCCCACATTCCTGCACATATGAAAGGCACTAGGGCGTGAGTCTCCATGCTGAGTCTCCTACCCTCCACCATACCTCCACCCTCCTGCATCCTCTGTGCCCCACCCCTCTTTCCAGTCAGCCTGACTAGGGCCAGCCCCAGCTCCAGGGTGTAACCTGGTCACCCACCCAGGGCCAAGCTCTTTTTTTTTTTCCTGTTTCTCTTCTCTATTGATCTATCAGGCTAGAGACCAAAACAGCCTTGGCATGCCCCAGGCCCAGGCCCAGGCCCAGGAGCCCAGCCAATAGTCAAAGCCTCCTCTTCCTGCCCAGAGAGCCCTCTGGTGCCTGTGCCCCTCCCAGCCCCAATAAGGGATGAGTGGCTTTCTATTTCTTTGTGTAGGTCCAAGACTGGAATTCTAGGCTAGCCACAGCTCCAACCCGGATGGGTGCCTTCTCTGAGAGACCGAGCTACACACTCCACATGCAGATAGCACATGCCATGCAGCTCAGATATGCACAGCACAAACGTGCACACACCCAATACACAGTGACCGCACACAGTCACTGTGCCCATTCGCTCCATTCCAGGTAGAGTGCCCTCATCCTGAGCATGGGCAGCGGAGGCACAGCTCCTCCGAGCCTTCAGCAATCCAGTCTTCCCCGGAACGCTATACAACCTACTGTTAACCTAGAAGCATTGGGCCTACTTTCCTGATGCCATCCAGATCAAAGATTATGCCAAAGAGAGAGAGCCACTGGGGAAAAGCCCTACCCCACCTAGTACTTCTGGTCTGCCTTCTCCTATGCCCATCCCCCTGTACCTCACAGCTGGCAGAGAAGCCCAGGGCACTAGTTCGGGAAGACAACAAAATAAGGCTTCGGTCCCTTGCTTTGCTGCTGCTCAGCTTTGTGGCTTTGAATGCCCAGCTGTCAGATCTTCAGTTTCCCCTTGTCTAAAATGGGCCTTGGCTGTCTGCACACTGGATGAGGAAACAGAGGAAATACCTTTCCACCTGGAGCTAAGATGGAAGCAGGAGAGGGAAAAGTTCCCAAGAGGTCCCAGAAGTGAGCCAGCCTTTTGGGAGAAGCAGACAAGCAACTCCTTAGTTGCTCTGATTGAATGCGGCAACACCAGGTTGGATCCTAGGGATAATATGGGATGCTCCCCGACACACACACAAGTCAGGTGACCATGCGGGAGCCATCTTGGCTACGTAGACTCATTTCCTGTTGTCAAACCACTGCTTTCTTTTCTGAGCCCCAAGAAATAAGGAGCGGGATTTATGTCCACATCGAGGTGAGCCCTGCTCAGTCAGGACAAGTATGGAGGACCCTCAAGAAGAGATAAGAGCCACCTAGGCAAGAGGATGGTGCCAGAAAGTTCTACTCCACAGCTCAGAATCCCTCAAGGCTAGGGACTTGTGGACGCACCTGTGCAGGTGCTGCCTGGGTGCTGTATCCAGCTGAGCTGAGTCCCACCGCTGCAGCGAGGAGGGATGTCAGAGGGGAAAGACCTTAGGCAGGCCCCTGCACCAGCACCCCACAGAAGACCAGGAAAATGGGGCTCACCTCCACAGCAGTTACCACAGGAAGAAGAGCTACCACGATGTATTCACCAGTATTCATCAGAGTGCATTGGGCTGCCTAGAACCCCGTCCTTGGCACTGTGTTAAACAGGAGCAGAGCTTCTACACAGAGGGGTAAAAGGCCCATTTTCTCTTACTCCAAGTCCCTCTGCTTTGTCTGAAAATACGGGGTTTATGTTGGGATCGCCATGGCCACTGATGACAGAAGACGGAGTGGCATATACTCCACTTCTGACCATGTACCTGGAGGACAGAAGGGAGGAGAGAGACCCCTCCCCCCCCAGCAGGGCACCTCCTCACTGGACTGGGGTGATTGGCCATAGAGAGCTGCTTCCCCAGATGGCTTCAAGGTTGATTTAAACAGGTAAATTGTTTGATAAGGCTCCTTTCAAAAAAATCTCATTTCCCTACCCAGAAGCAAGCAGTTTTAGTTGGGTGAGAAGCTCCTGACGCCTCTGTGTTTCTTTTAGCACGTGCTCTCCTTCCTCCACCATTAGCACATTTATAGCAGCTCCTTCTCTGGAATGGTATTTTTTTTTCCGTTAGTCACGGGGCTTGAACTTAGGGCCTGGGCACTGTCCCTGAGCTGGTTTGCTTCAACGCTGGGCCTGGGCGCTGTCCCTCAGCTCTTCTGCTCAAGGTTAGTGCTCTACCACTTGAGCCACAGCACCACTTCCAGTTTTCTGGTGGTTTATTGGAGATAAGAGTCTCA